TATGGTAAAATAAAGAATGAAGTTTGAAGATGATTACGTCACCAAATGGATCACTGCACTTGGTAAGTAACGCCATTTGATATTCCAAATCTTATACGCTTGATCTAAATAAACTTATTTTGTTCATACATGGGTACTAACATCAAAATAGGATCCGCTTAGAGACTAATGAATGTACCAAGCCACACTATTCATAATAGGTATATTGAAAACAGCTATAACAAATTTAAAACAATTAGTCCCTTTGATAAATTTCGATAATGATATTAGAAGACGAAGATTATCAGAACTATGTGATATATTAGATATCATTAAGGTTATTCATAAAACAAACTTTTATCTTTACCTATTAATGCACCTCTTGATAACATTTTTTCAGTACAACTTTCCTTGAGCCCAAAAATATGCCTCACCAGTTAACTATTAATCGAATTCACTTTACTGAATTATGTATAACGAGAAGAGACTCAGTAGCTAAGTGGATAACGTGATGGCGTTTAAAGCGGACGGTACTGGGTTCGAGTCCCGGAGTGAACATCAACTCGTATGCAATCGCATCCAGCGTACGCGTCGCAAATAGGACGAAACGCGTATCCTGGATTCCTATGCTTAACCAGTCGGTCGGAAGGACCTCGTTCACCATAACGTCACCTCGCCCCCCCAAAAAAACACTCTCGTACGGCCGAGGGTGGAGAATGTCAGCTTCACGTGGCCTCCTAAGGAAATCACCTGCCTCGGTTCGGACACCCGGGCAGTATCACAGCCCAAACACAAATCAAGAGACTTGGGTGGCGCATACATATTCGGTGCCCCTTGGTACCAATATTTGTGTTTAAATAAATAAATTCATCTGTGCTTAAAATACTTGTGAATTAAGGCAATACTCAAAGTATGCATATGTGCCAATAACAGACTGATCAATTGTGGTCCCAAACATCAATGGAAAGATTCAAGTAAACAATACAAAGTTAGTTTGAAGAGAACACTGTTGAACAAGTGATACCATCTGTGAAGTTAGTGTGCGTCAGCTTAACCCATGTACAAAACATAGGCTTCTTTTCTGGAATCATTAATGTCTAGACAGTATTTACTTATAACAAATCTTGAATCTTTCATAGTTTTTGGAACTTGATTTGTAACTATTATTAATATTACATTCATATCATTTTATTACAAACTACTTTCCGTTGTTTTTCCGTCCTTTCTTCTTTCTGAAATAGCTTACTAATTTTTTTGTTTCCTGCTTAATTCTGCATTGTTACGCTTATTTATCAGAGGGAGATTTCTAAACCCAAAATAGACATGAAGTGTGATTTGCATGCCACACATTTTTAACAAATCTGTATCTGTAGATGCCTTGTAAGTTTCGTTTATTACAAATTAATTACTAAAATAACTTATCCCTAATTTTTATTGTATCTAAATATATGAACACGTTTTGCATAGCCAGTACAAAATACGAAGATAGAGAACTGCTGAAAATCGAGAAACATTAATATATATATATATATATATATATATATATATATATATATATATATATATATATATATATATATATATATATATATATATATATATATATATATATATATATAAAGTATGTACTGGCATTATTTATCAGATGTTAGAATTCATCTTTCAACTTCATCCTGTTTTATAACGTATTACTTAATTTTAATATGTATGCTGAGTATATCCAAGCATTTTTTCCAATGGCGTAAGTATGAAATCTGTTGTTACGACTCGTATATTCCATCTGACTACCCTCCTACACTGACGTACTTTCATATTCTTTTACTGACTACTTTTCTCAGTCATATCATTGCTTTTCTCTTCGTGTAACCAATTCTCCAAAACTTTATTCATCTTCAGTTATTATTTGTGTAATTATTTACATAAATAGTTCGTTCGTTGTCTTAATTGGTAATACTTTGCATAATTTTAGTCTCATCCTATTTCTGAGGTCCCAGCTTATTTATCAACTGTTCTCCTGATGGTGCGATCGACTTCTAAACACCTGATATTGAAAAGTAATAGGTTCGTGATCCCCATTTCGAACTTTAAGAAAACTGTATTGTACTTTTAACACCAATTTGCTTTCCATATTTGTATTTGTAGTTCGAGAGTTGGGTTAGAATCCTTGTATTGATTAAATCATGACAGGATTGCTAAAAAAGCTCGACTTTGCCTTAGTTCATAAAATATATTAAAGCTTTTATCCACTCCCTAATAGACAACTTGAGAACCCTACTTAGTATATTATTTCCAAATAAACATTAATTGGCTTTTTATCCTCTGAATTTTACATTGACACATAGACTATCTATTGGGTACATGGCCTAAGAATCTCATCTATGGTTTGAACTTCCTGATTGAATATCTTATGAACTACTTAAGATTAGATACTACTCTTGTGTTGTGAAAATGACCATCTTTTTCAATGTTTAATAAAATTACAGTATCGAGTGGGTTGGCGCTAAATATATATATCTTTCACTACGGATTTCACGTCAACCATCTAAAACTATATACATATGTCTCATACGAACACGACACTGTAGCGAATCACAAAATGACGGAAAATGTAATTAAAATAAAAGTTGAAATTTAAAATGAAATACCCACTGAAAATTATGCTCATATATGTAGAATGAACTTTCAAGATGAATGGAAAAGTTGAGAACATTGAGGAATAGATGTGCTACAAATTCACGGACATGCATCTTATCCCCTTTTATGTACTTCACAAATTAAAAATTGTATATCATGTTAATTAATTGTAATGAATATCAATAGTAAATAACAAGGAAACAATGTGGTTTATTTTCAAATGTTTCTTGTCCTTTACATCCTTCATAGGATCAGTTAGTGAATAAATTGAATGAAAAGTTAGTTGTTACAATATTCTGATCTATTATTTATTCTCATTTTCTATTTGTTCGACGATACAACAGAAACTTTTTTAGTTTTGAAATAACAAGTTTTGGCTTTTTTACGTCAGGCTTCAATAATGGGAAAAGTCATGTTAATAATTGATTCTTCAACCTACAAATACACATTTAAGGTTTCGCTTACAATTTTAGATGGTTGTGTAAAACCAAATGTAACGAAATATTTAAGGAACTTGTGTGAAGCAGTGTAACTAACCGAAAAATTTAAAATAGACTTAATTTTCAAAAAGCATTATTACTGTGAGTGGTTTTTAACAGACTTCATGTTCCCGTTTTGAGTCTAGTGGGACATAACCAACTATAACTCTAGTATATGCTTAAACAGAATGCATTCAATTTCTAACTCTCCGACGCTCGTTGGGACCAATAATGAAATTCAAAAAATAAGTTCAAGTCTAGTGCACTCAACTTTGAGCCAAACATATAATGAAAGGCAAGGATACAACCCACCGGTCCACATCAGGTGGGTTTAACGAGATCCACACCACCACACAAACAGTGGGAATTCGAATCCTAAAACTCCCCTTATAATCGTCCTATAGATATTTTAATTGCCTGTTTAGAAATAAGCTTAGAACTTAGTTACCTATTATCCAAGTAAATGATTTGAAGTGTAGTCTTTGAATATGATGTTAAATATTAGAGACCAACTCATTTATATATCATAGAAAACTACTTCCCTTACACTTTTAGTAGTGATTTCATGTTCATTATTCATGTATATATATATATATATATATATATATATATATATATATATATATATATACGCAAGAATCTATTAAGATGTGATAAATATGTTATTCATTTGGCTACTTAAAACAGTACAACACGGTACAGTACAGTATAACCGTCTACAAGCAAAACAATAACTACGCATTATAATCAAAACTCCGTAGAAATTCTAGCCGGTGGGTGCTATTAGTACACTTGATTACGCGTTTAATGTTCTTAATATAAGTAAAATCTAGAGTGTATGGATAAAAGGATAATTACATCATAACCTAAATGCAAATTAGTTTTACTAATGCACAAAACAAAACAAAACAAACAAGTTAGTAAATTGAATTGAACAATAATAATAGTAATAATAATGTTAAATAAAGCACGCTTGTATAAATATATAAAAATGAATCTTCTCCGTACTAAAAAAAGAATGTACAAAATAGTTCTATTTAGGAAATGTGAGTAGCATTTATTAGCCAATAAAATTTACAGAAATTAACAACAAGAATATATGTACGGACAAGGAGGTCAAGGTAGGAGAAATTTATAAAACACTATCTATGTATTTTAATGTTATTTGAAATGCAAATGTTGTGAAGACTTCCCAATAAAACTAAACAATAATATAGTAGTGAAATATTAGAAAATCTATGATCACTCACAATAAGCATTCCTTTTGCTTTTTTCCTCACATATGAATGAATTTAGTGATTAATGTAAATGGAATGTTGACACAATTTGAATCAGAGATATTAAATCAAATATATAAAAAACATATACAATTTCTATTATAACAGAAATGCTATGTATACATTTGAAGTTGTTAATTAACACCAGAATCATTTGTTGCATCAGTGACACATGCTTTTGTACATGAGCAACTAAAATCGGTCGTTATGGAGATGTAAAGAAAGGATATTAATACTTTGACTGTGAAATGTTTCACGGATTTGAGAGGATTATAATATACTGTACATATGCAAAAACATAATAGTATACATATATATATATATATATATATATATATATATATATATATATATATATATATATATATATATATATATATATATATATATATATATATATATATATATATATATAATTTCATACAAGTAAGCAGAATCCTGAGCAAATAAATTTTCGGCGAAAAAAACATAACAGAAAATAGAAAGGCCATTGAAGGAAAATAATGAATGAAATTTCATCTGAATTCTTCCGCAAAACAAATCGGAAGGCACCTATTGATGAATAAATGTACAAGTTTTGATATAAACTACCATTAAGTAGCTGTAAAAAGCTCCATATACATATCATACATCAATGAGCTAAAAAGGCATCGATATCTATGCCTTGACTATAACTAGATAATAAAACAGGACCATAATTACGCATAGATGACCGGTTATTAGAGATATACTTGGTACTACCTAAATGACTTAACCGAGAACCGTATACGGTATCTTCGATAAGAGAATCATCTCTAACCTCTTTCGTTTCACAGCGATAATCAGATAAGTTAGAAGATAGCTTTCTCTTTTTGGGAACGGTATTCGTCTGATCCACTACTAAGGGAGGTTCTGATTGGCTTGATTGACTGAATAATGAAGCAGCGGCGGAAGCTATCTCTCCTTCATCAAAGCCAGTTACAGTAGTATTAGGAGTGGGAGGTTGGGGAAGAGAAATTCCATTAGATCGAAATGAACTATTGATCGAAGTGGAGGAATTCATGGACGATTCATTTGCCATATCCTCCGTTAACGCTGCGGCGGCAACCCAGTCCTCGTCAACTGTGAACTGTGAATGGCTGAACTGAGAACTTGCACCAGCTATGGATGAGCATGAACCGTTGAAGCGATCAGAAACATCGTCTCGTTGTCGAGCAGAATCAGAAGATAAACGTTCAGTGTATGAAGGAGATGAGTAAGGAGGAGAGCCAAGTGGTGAAACACCAGACAAAGGATTGCGAGCCCACCAGCGTCGTCGCAGCCTCCAAGGACTGGTGGGGCACGTGATCGATCGTTTTCATGATGCTCAGAGTCAGAAGCATTATTATGAATAGAGTCATCTTCAAAAACAATATTGTCAGTATTTACGGTAGTTGGCTGTAAACCCAAAAATCTTTTCGCTGGAATGACTGACGGACTAATGAACTACTAGAGTGTTGTTCTAGTGTATTACTGTTTACTCCATTTTCCAATTTGACCGGTTGTCTGATACGGTATGTAGGTGAGAACGGAACATTATAAGAAAGGGGATCTGAAGGTGTGACGATATCGAGGCAGTAACCAGGGGTCACATTGCGCTGTACAGACCGGTTTAAAAAATTAATTGGACGAGGATGTTCTGCGGGTATTGGGAACACAGTCCTATCGTCTATAGGAAATGTAGACAGTGTATGACTGTTTACTGGAGAGTATGTAGATCCTGTAGTCAAACGCCGCTTTTTCCCTCGATGTGAATGCCTTTCAGCACAATTTTTCACTAACATATATAGCTCGCCAGCTGAAAAACCAAGTAGAGTCTTTAAATCACAAATGAATTTGTAAACGAAACGTTTTCCATGAACCTAAAGGGTAAAACAAAAATTAGGGTGGTTAAGTACAAATATAGCAGAAATATGATTCACATCGTTGCAATAACAGACAGAAGCCAGATTCTAAAATGTGTTTATACAGTTACTTTGTTATCAGTACACAAAACTTTCAATGATATTGTAGTATCGTCAATAATGAACGCCCGAAACCGCTTGAACATAAAGTGATTCAAAGTTTCCAATATTTAGACATATCGTCCAAATAAATGTCTATTGTTTCAATATAATCAACATTGCGATGTAGGATACAAAGTGTACAGAATATGTATTTCTTTCTATACAAAACTGACAACTACTTTATTTCTACATAAAACAAATGAAGAATATTACATCCAAAGAGCATAGAGGTTTATTCATGTAAAGGGCCAGTTGATGTATGTAAATTTTAATGGACAATTCGGTTGTAGACTAGTTGTAACGAACCACGAATACATCATAGGAAGACCGAGGGATATGAATGATACGTTTGTATTATTACTCCAGGATCATACAAAACCATAGCACTGATTCAACTACCCATTTACTTTTAGCACTCCTAAATTTTTCTAGTACACATAATTACGGGATTTTTTAAATTGTCGATCATTTTGATGTTTTATTCAAATGTAATATGAGAGAAAATCTGATTACAATACAGAAAAATCCAAGAAAAAATGATAACACTACTAGTTGAAGTCACTAAAACTAGTCGTCACTTCCAAATTACGCAAAACTTTCCAAGTGGAAAGTCCTAATATCTACAAAGGCAAACAAAATACGACTTACGGCCCATCGAATCAAATACAAAAAAAAGAAGTTTCAAAATTATGATAAAAACGTAATTCATAAGAACCCAATTAAGCAATTGAAGTAAAAATATGAAGACAAATGGCAACTAAATATGCGTCTTCGTGAACTGATAGTTTAAACATTTAATCATGTTTTATTTACTACAGCTTGGGAGATAGATTTATATAATAATTGAACAGTCAGTTAAAACTAAGAACGCACATTTAAAAACATTATTTTATCTGGGGATCAAGATAAATTTCAGGCATAGAAGTTTAAATCACTTGAAAAAGCGTTACTATTTTAATCGATACCTTTGAAATCATATCACCATCATAATAATATCGTAATGCTCGAGATAACTTCTCGTAATTCATAGCAGGTTTGTTTTTTCGATGACCCCACATTGCAGCTACTTGTTCAGGATTACTTAATTTAAATTCACCATCATCGCTAATCCAGTGTATAGCTTCACGGTATCTCCAATCTGTAAGTAGTTCAAGTAAAAACTGCCACAGTTGAACTTGACCAGCTGCAGATGATTGAGAATTAGAAATTCCTTGTTGAAGAGTGTTACCATTTTGAGCTAATAAAAATGCACCCTGTAAAGTTAAAAAAAAGAAACTATTTTATTAATGATATTCATCGAATATAACTGAATTTTGAAACATTAAACAGAGTGGAATTCATGAGTGTCATATCAACTATGATGAACTCGTCTAAAAATGATATCCTGTGCCTTCGCAGTAGCCTTAATAAAACTAATAACACAAGCGCCGTAAAGTTTAAGTTTAGACTAACCGTAAAAGGAATATAGAGATTACAAAATTTTAAAAAATACTTTGACCTCTCCTATAATACTGGACAATCACTTATCGCATTCGACCTTATTAGCCCTATTTTTCATATACAAAGACAAAGAAATATGGTGATCACAGTTGATATTATATTCATTATACTAAACCATCGTTTGATGGCTAGAAGCAAAGTCACTGCCTAAAAATCATAGCTAAGCTATCGAAAGTGTAAATTTAAAGGAACTCTTTAATTTATTTAGGAATTACTATATATAGTTATGATGTTCAATTAAGATCTGCTACTTAACAAACGCTAGTATATTTTTAAATGAAATTTTCTTGATAAGTGGAACTGGACTAATATATTGATAATTAGTCTGTTATTGAACTTTTCATTTGCCATTTGCTGAAAAACAAAGATATATACACGTTCATGTGCAGTTTAAAGACTAAGTGTTTCACAAAAGTTGTAAGGAAAGATTGCTTGACCAGCATTTTCGACCATTATGATGTTATTGGCTGTCATATACTATTTGAATGTAATTGCTTTCTAATCAATACGTAAAACACATCTATTTATTTTTGCTAATATATGATAAAAATAACAAGTCATGGGTTTTGAATAACAAGATTGAGATAATTACCCAAAAGTCCACAAAAATAAGGACATTAAAAAACTTACATGAATTAACTGACCACCACCTGAAGACGACTCGCATACCCCGTTATTTGTGTAGTTGGATGAGTTCTGATTAGCAGTCGTTTCGTTCATTAATGTAACTGTACTGGATGTTGGAACGTGACCATTTGAATCATTACATGACAAAAACACTGGTTTTGAACACATCATTCGTGGGTTAGAATTATTCATATCGTAGGAATTTAAGGCTCCCGAGTACGACGGCGCAAATACAATACCTTTGTGATCAACAAACAATTAAATGAACTGATACAGAAAAGTAAGTATCGAATAAACCACACTTTCGACGTAAACCCAAAATTTTAATACCAATAAATGAGCTATATATTAGAAGCTTGAAAACTTGAAGAAAATGTGATAATGGTGATCAACTTTCCACAGACAGGGTGGTGAGGAAAATAGCTAACTATAAACCAACTCATTTACCAGGTACTTGTATTAGCCACTTTAAGTGTGAGGGATAATGATACTACCCGGTTGCCAGAACCGAAGTAGGTGGAATGGAGTACAACCTTTGGACTTAGTTGCTGAGATTTGAACGTTTTATCTACTAAGCCACTGCTAGATACAAATTACTGCTGTTCTGTGTAATTACAAATAAAGATTTAAAATTTCGAGTAAATGCTATGCAGCAGCTAAGCTAGTCTAGATGACACCATACATTGTGAGGCTGACAGACTAAAATCCAACGTAATGAAGTCACGTATTTATATTAATTGTTATAAATACTCTTATTTTTAGAAAAGCAACTATGAGGTTTAAGCTTGACTGAAAACATCTTGTCATAACACACCTCATTAGTTTGAAAGTTTACAGAATCCCTTTACCTTCAGTCAGAATACTCTTTGATCTAATTTGGATCCTTCCTTACATAAAGTCTCCATGAAATGAAAGCAACGATAATGGGTATGTCTTATTCCTACGAATTTCACTGGGTCAGAATAACAAAAGTTGAGTACAAATCGAATCATTATGTAAAATATCAACTACGCAATCTGAAGGACGTCACAACTTAGTCTGAAACTTTATACAACGATCCTGAATGTTTTCTGATCAGAACACATGAACGAAGTGCTGTGAAATCATGTTAACTTATATATCATGGCGTTAAGTTCGAAAAAGTATTAGCCAAACTTTGTAGAAAAATAACTGCAGAAATCATTGGCAAGAACTAAAATTAGTTACATAATCTAGATCTCGAATTTCATTCAAATATAACTTCATAACATTGATTACTGATTAACGGAGCCCTACTGCAACTAATAGTTATAGATTATTTAGAATTGTCAGTTAGCTACGCCGTAGGACCAGGCACATATATGCATCGGTTCTAGTTACCATACCCCATTAGCACAGCAAGATGAACACCGGATTCATAGAAGTACTTAATTCAATGGTGGTAATATATAAAAGATTGAATACAAGGATATAGTACAGGCAGAAAGAATTAGTTGGCGGCAAGAAAGATATGAAGCGATTTTAATCTCACAGTCTAAGAAAAAAAAAAGAGTGCATACACCGATGCCATTGTGATCGATTCTAAACCATGTTATCAAGTCTCCAACCATTGGTTACGACAGTCACGCGGACCCCAACCAAGTAGTCTGCATCTATCAACATCGCTTAGACCAGAAGTTAGTGACTTCAAGCACTGATGCCACGTTTTGGTTTGGCCGCCCATAACTTTCTTCCAGCTGTTTCGAACAACATTCAGCATTACGCGTTGTGGTAATCGGTGTTCACGCATACGCAACACGTGGCCCAACCATCTCACTCGGTGAAGATTCACAACCTCATCAAGTGACTTACCATCATTCCTTAACATCCTGAGTCTAACCTCACTATTACTCACCAGGTGATCCCAGCAGATGCCGGAAATATTTTTGAGACATCTATATTCAAATACTAGTAACTTCCGAGAAATTTCTACTCTTAATGGCCATGTTTCGCTGCCGTAAAGTAGAAAAGAACGAACTGCAGCGCAGTACACTCCTCCCTTAATTGATAGACGGTGACGAAAGTTGGCAAAAGCCAAACGAGCTTTCTGAATCCGTGCTGAAATTTCGTCAGACACTAACCCATTAGGGCTGATTAGATTTCCGAGATAAGTGAAGTTGTCAACGCGTTCGACTACTTCACTCGCTATCCTTAGTTCAGGTGTTGACGCAATCTAGTTCTGAAGTAACAACTTGTATTTATAGCTACAGAAAGGCAACACGAACACTCTGGCATTGTTGCTCAGTGCCATCAAAACACTATGCATTTTGTCAGTCTTCACCAAACAGGACTATATCATCTGAGTATTCTAAGTCGATAAGTGGACCACCTGGTGGGAAATCGATGCCCGGAAATTCTGTCGACGAGAACGTTATTTCCACCAGTAGATCTATGATGAAGTTAAACAAAAATGGAGAAAGTGAACAGCCTTGACGGACACCACTTGAGGTTGCAAAAGCAGATGACAGTTCGCCATAAGCTCTCACTCGACTGGTAGTGTTCGAGTAAAGAGCTTTCACAAGGTTGATGTACTTCTGTGGTACGCCTTTCAATGACAGACAATGCCACAGAATATCGCGGTCTACGGAGTCAAATGCTGCTTTTAAGTCGAGAAAGACCGCCATTCTTGGACGCCGATAAGTATGTCTGTGTTCTAGAGCCTGATGAATGGTGAATATATGGTCGATGCAACCACGACCAGGTCTAAAGCCAGCCTGATTTTCTCGTGATTGCAGTTCACGAGTCTTGGTTAGGAGCCCGATAATTATTGAGGCCATTATTTTAGATGCTATAATAATTAAACTAATCCCTCTATGGGACAATTAGTGATTGCGACCAGTCAGATGGGATTACGTCCAACTCCCAGATTTTAGGTAATCGCTAAAACTGAATCAACATCCTTAAATACCTCTGGAGCAAATTCATCTGGACCAGCTGCTCTTCCTTGTTTCACATTAGCTGTAGCCTTTTGGACTTCAGCTAGAGTCGGGGGACCTACTTCAATATTCCACTCAGGCTTTCTGGGAATGGTGGGTAGTTGTAGAGTAGCTAAAGGCCAGCTAAACTGCTCCTTAGTGTTCCGCCCATCGTTCTAAACGTCTGGGTTGAGAGCAGATAAGAATGTCTTTTTCTGAGATCGCTTACACTTCACTTCTTAATTCCAATTTCTTTTATTAGTCTGAAAAGTTGTCTGGTGTTACCTACAGCCGCCGCCTTTTCCATCTCTTTTGCTTTCTTTGCCTACCACTGCTTACGGTCGTTCCTCAGACTTTTGGTTGATCTAGATCTGACTTGTTTTCGCTTTTCATCGTGTTCAGAGCCTGATGGGGTAAGTTTACGAGAATCTATCAGTGCAATAGACTTAGTAGAAATCCACTGAATTTCCGTGATTCTTTGGTCAAAATCACTAATAGATGTCGTTGCTGTTTCCACAGCTGCTTGTATATTTTCCCAAGCAACATCTGGGTCAGCCTCATTTTCAGAACTACCTAAGTGTGACCTCAGATGTTCCTGGAATCTACTTTTGGCTTTCTCGTCACTGAGTTCAACTCTAATGAGTCTTCTTAATGCGATTTTTGCGTCCAGTGAGGTGCGTATTAACGCATGACTGAAGTCTAAACATGTACTCCGGAATGAGCGACAGTCTTCTGTCGAGCCTCTCCAATGATGACTGATGGCAATATGGTCTATTTGAGTTTATCGTTGGTTTGGTGCAGGTGGTCGCCATGTTAGACGATGTCTCTCCTTATGCTTAAAGTTTGTGTTTGCTAAAAATAAACGATTGTCTGAGCACAGTTGCAGCAGACGATCACCATTATCTGTTCTCTGAGCTGGGATACTGTAATACCCACCAAAATGTCTTTCTGTTTGGTTTGAGCTAACTACTTGGGCATTAAAGCCACCTACTACGAGTACTATGTCTGAGCGTTTAGCTTTCTGTGAAAGTCATTTTTCAATTCATCCAGGCTCCAGTCAGTGAGAGCGTGGGCAGAAACGACGAAAAGGCAACAACGCGTGTCCCTACCCTTCCGAGTTTTACGGAGCCGTTTCACCGAACAGCACATAGATGACTGTTAACGGGGATCCACTCTAATAGTGCTTGTTCTTCTCTCGTACTTAATGCTGTGGCTACACTTGCCATTTCATGAGAACTAGCCATTGGGTTGCCAGATACACGGAGGGTATATCTCGTCAGCTTTCCGTTTTGACGACGTGAGGTTTAGTGAATGAGCACACTACGATCTTGTATGAGTGTTTCGGAGACAGCATACATCAATGGTACGAGATTCTACGGCTTAGCCAAGGAGGCCTGCTGGTCGATTTGACATAGGGTGTGTACGTTGAAGGCTCCAATATGTAGTTTGGAGCGACGTTTCAGTAGACCCGGGCAGTGTTTCGAGCACTAGAATCGTTGACTATGGTGACACTTGAGGAGGAAGTCAAAAGAGGAATTTTAGAGTTGAAAGTCGATGTAAGTGGAATGATAGGAAGTGAAGACGGAGGTTGATTATGAATACAATGGTCTTGAGTGCTGTTAGAGGTATGAGGGCGGTTATCACTTCCCGGTTGCTCACACCGTGGGAGGGTTGTTCTGGAGGTACCTGAAGAGGAAATTAGATTAGAGGTGATCTTAGTGACCTGAGAGCGTAACCACAGTGTCCAAGGGACAACTGCTTGAAGTCGGTCACACACGACTTTTTGTGAGTAATTTTCGTGTTAGCTCCGTACTTGTTGAGACCTTACCACCGGAGAAGAATAAGGCGAGGTGTGCATTTTCAGGGTCGACCTTTTCTAACTCCACTCCTTCTTGTGGGAAGGTAGCATCGATATTATGCTGGTCGTCTGAAGAAGACACCTTACTGCCGTCACACCTCTGTACAGTCAGTAGTACTTCGCCTTCGAACCTTGAGTATGCTGCTTTTAGTTTTACAGTTCTTCAACCTACCTGTCTGACATGGTAGGACATTGAGGAAGGATTGTTCCAGCCAGTATAGCTCGGTTGGTTTATTACGATAGGCAAGCCCGACCGCCACGTCAAGGTAGCAACAAATATTTGCAGCAGGTTTCCATTTATGACTCTCATTGGTAATGTTAAGCTGTATTTCTTGTTATTTTTTAAAATAAAGGGTAAAAGAGATAACTCAAAAATACTGGAAGTGGTTGTGAGACTAAAGTGGACGTCCAGCATGCTTTTAATTATCTGCTGTTAGTTGGGTCTTCCGTAAAGTTTAATAGGGCCATAGTTCTAACGACGAAACAATCTGTGAGATCTGTGAAGGCTCACTCCTGTTGCATTCTTTCTCCAGTAATTTAGGATATCATTCCAGCATTCCAGAATTGTACTTTCGATGAACTATTTCGATTTATTCATTTAATCACAACACAAATGTTGTAACGCGTGTGTGAGACTGCAGGTTTTGATAAGCAGCGTATTTATCGATCGCCTCTGTGACAGTGGACACGTAAACACGGACGGACGACCTAGAGCCCTGATTGGTCCCGCTTCGCAGTCTGTCCTAGCCAGTTGAGTCAAGAACGCAAGTCACAGCCTCTGAGTTATGAATCGTTGTATTTCAGACATACTTTGTTTATATACCAATCAAGCACACCACATCGTACCATAAAATAGGAAACAACATTTACAAAATATTTAACAAGTGAAATAAACATCGACCAATAAGAAATGTACATTTAAGGTCCAAGGACACCATAGACTTAACACGATAATTATTGGTATATTTTTCCGACTATCCTAACACCTCCCCTTTTTTGAAAGATCCGGAGTTAATATCTGGACTTTAAAATTTTCTGCGTCCGTCCTCCCCCGCGAAATAACGTTGGGTCCTCATATACCCAAGCAACAACCAGTCTGATTCTATTTAAAGCATATTTCGCGCATTGAGTAGAGGGTTCACTAAAACTGACTAGATGATAAGGATTAAGGTTTGATTTTTGTGCAACATATCCTTCAGACCTCTTCAAAATGCGATCACTGGATAATAGGTCACTAAAACAAACAGCATCTTTGAAATTCATATCAGATTTCTGACCATCATTTGATGCACGGGAAACATTTTCTGGCACGAGAGGTTCTTCTTGTAAGCTGGATACCTCACATGTTTCAGGCACAGTGGGATTTGAACCCACAACAGGGCATACTTCTGAATTGGACAATTCTGGATCTCTGGATGGATCATGCGCGACTGCCACGTTTGCATTACTGATCATAAGGGATTCATAGAGGCTTTTGTTTTCATCTTCATATGTCCTGCAGTCATTCTCGAGTTCAGTATGCAGGTGAGAAATTAATTCGTCAACCTCTTTCACATCTCCGAAACACGGGAGATTTAGCAGTCGCGTGCGCATATAGTCCAAAACTTTCAACTGGCTCTCTTTGAAACGATCTAGTAGTATCTGCAATTGATCGGAGGGGATAGTCATTTTCTGAATCAGCAGAGTAATGAGAAATACTGTAATCAACTAACAACCAATGACTCCCAAGGACGCCGACGAAAAATCTGGATACTGATTGGTCAGAACAATTATACTGAATCTCGTCCAATTACAGGGTTCAAAATTCTCTCTACCCCGTCGCCAATTGTTGTAACGGGAGCGTGAGACTGCAGGTTTTGATAAGCAGCGTATTTATCGATCGCCTGTACAGTGGACACGTAAACACGGACGGACGACCTAGTGCCCTGATTGGTCCCGCTTCGCAGTCTGTCCTAGCCAGTTGAGTCAAGAACGCAAGTCACAGCCTCTGAGTTATGAATCGTTGTATTTCAGACATACTTTGTTTATATACCAATCAAGCGCACCACATCGTACCATAAAATAGGAAACAACATTTACAAAATATTTAACAAGTGAAATAAACATCGACCAATAAGAAATGTACATTTAAGGTCCAAGGACACCATAGACTTAACACGATAATTATTGGTATATTTTTCCGACTATCCTAACAACAAAAAATTGTCCAAAACGCTACCAGGGAAATGAGAATTTGCGGTGTAGATGATGAGTACAATATTATGCCACTAGACTAATTCAAACTATATGTGAATAAGCCAGTCATTTTCACTAATATCCCTTCTAATATTCTATATTACCATGATGAACGGGATATTATTAGATGGTGACAGAACCATTTACCAAGACGCGATTATTTCATATTACTAAAGTGGAAAAACTCATAATGAATGCAATAGGATATTGAAACAAGTTCCATAATGTGAATACTTACTTCCACCAAAACTCCTACTAGAATTCGTTTCCGTCAAATTTCTAGAGCTACGAAAGCGGGATCGTGACATTTGTCTGTACAATTTTTGGGATTGGGTTGCGCTCTGTTGTGGGGGTTGTGGACAATAAGGAACACCTAAACAAAGAGGTGTATGTCACTATGAAATCCGTGTTACACATCATAAGAAATACGAAACTAACTTATCTCTATAACATAAATAAGAATAAAAAATAACAGTATAAGTTTAACAATAATCATTTTGAAATATTTATAACTAGATACATTAACGCGAAATGTGTCGATGACTTCACTTGGAAGTCTTATCAGCCCTGGAGGATTAGTGTCTGCAGAAATATCGGCACAACTTCCATCACAAGTGAGGTAGGTAACATATCCGTTTGTATATCAAAGGATGAATGTACTGAAAGACAATAAGCTTTGTATCATATTGCTGTGAGAAATATTCCATATAAATAGAAGATATGCGTAAGCTGCGTGTTTTAGATAATAGATGTTTTCGCAGCATTGCAAGCATATCGTGTAACAACCAAGTGAGAGATCTTGAGGTTAAGAGTAGCAAATGGTGAAAAAATGGGGAGACGGTTAGTGAGACTATGAACTCAACAACCACCTATCTTGACGTGTAATGATGACTGGAGTGGGGGGTGGAGGGAAACTACGGGCGGCCAAGCCAGGACATGAAATCACTGGGTTTTGATCTGAATCGTGTCGGTTGAAGACTACCTAGTTGTGACCAATCGTTAATGATCTTATGTGACAAGGCTCAGAAGTGGTCACAATATCCAGAATGGATCTATTTTCTACCTTTCCCTGGTTTTAATATATTTTCATACTTTGTAATTCATCATGTTAATTTCATTTCCCGGTGTGATGTGAACAGTTGAACGGACACATACCTGTGCCATGTCCCACGACGATGATTACAAGTGACTACTTAACCCGAATAGAAACATAAAATGTTAGTTAAAAAATGAATGTATAGAAAAAAAGAAATGTAAATCATAGCTGTCATTTTCTATTCTAATGCTAGATACATACATAAACTGTACAATAAATCTTAAAATCGGTAAAACAGAACAAAATTATAAAACATACAAACATTTCGACACCGTTTAAGTAGCTCTAAGTGAGTTAAGAAGTTAACGTTGGCGTTGGGAACTAAACGTCGCCAATCATCTGGTGTTAGAACAAACATGCTAGACCCAGGCATGTTGAACAACTTTTCGCCTTTTAGGCCTTCAATCCTAAATTGTTTGCAAGCCCAATTTATCCACATAATAACCTAAATTTAAAAAAAAACTTATTAGACGTTTCTTTGTCAACATATGCATATCAATAAAAGACTCCAGGTGGAGAAAAACTATAATGCATGACTAAACAACTCAATCAGATTAAAAAAAACAATGATCATTTTTAACTATATGCAATGTAGAACCTGACACATGTGCATCGGTTCAAGTTGCCACGCCACATTAGCACAGTGAGACAAAATTGTTTCAAGACAAATCCCAGAGTAGTAGGAGTAGTAACAATATCGACAATAGTAGAAAATGTTAAATGTAGAAAAAGTATAAGATTTCAGGAGTTAGGTCCTACAGGAATACAACTACGAATGAACAGCCCGTGCCATTGCGAAATTTTTCGAGCCAATACCATACAAAGTCTCCAGCCACCAATTGTAGTTACCACGAGGACCTCAACCAGGTAGTCTACATGACAACTACGATCTGCAACTGGATATTTATGGTGATACAGCTTGGAATAGTTCATAATGGTTCATATGCATGTGTCTTCCTCTTGATCTTGAATCCTAATATCCCTTGATACACCCTTCCACTGTCTTTTTGAGCTATATTCTCAATTTTTAGTCTTTCTCCATGTCATTGCTAAAACATTGTTTCGGTCTCTTTTGCCATTCATTTAGTCGTACTAATATGATAGTAACTTGTAACAACTCACATCTGTGCCAGGCCCTACGTTGATAATGAATGAATGATTACTTTTGTAGTTTGAAGCCAATTGATACTTCAGATGTGACATGCAACGACTATGTGATGAAGGTCTAATCAATTTTCTGGTCACTCAAAATCGTAAAGAGACCTAAAGAAGTGGTAAGTACACCAACATCTGTCAATAATACCGTAATGTATTAGAATAAAAACTCAGCCAGTAGCTCTTTTGGGGCTACTGCCGGTCCCAAGTCCTGGTAAAAGAGGACGGCTGGGCATAGGTCAACAACCCCATCCCGTAGAAAACTACCTTGCTAAATAACGCTAAACAGAAAGAACCATTTATACCATTTAAACTCTGTCTTCCGAGTTCAAGGATCTTTATTTAGAAGAATTATGACTGTAAAATGTGATTGATAGACGAACCCACCAATAATAAGGGAAACGCCCACCACCACATCAACTCCTTTTGACGTTGTACGACTGTATCTCTTTATTAACCAATCACAGTTTAATGTTCATTGTAAAACAATATTGGCTTGTTGACTCATTTTTCCTATTCTCTGGCTACTGCTCGGTATGTTATTTGTCTCTGTTTTTCCCTGTATTAATAGACCGTACTGTTTGTTTGTACACTAACGATGTTAATTTATGTTTTACAAACAGATAAAGTTTATCTAGCCAAATAGCTTGCTTGTTCTGACTTTGGATAAACCAAGACTGTACTCGACAGTCTAGAGATTAGCTTAGAGTTGAATCTGTAGGAAATTGCTTCCTACAATGACACCTCATGGTCAGAGCTGGGGTTCTTCACAGGTCACGAGGCCGATGCCCACAAAGCAACAATTAATATAGGTACTTTGAATGTTCAGACAATGTGGGGGACCGGGAGGACCAATCAAATAGCTGAAGAAATGAGGAGACACAACTTGGTGGTGCTCGGAAGCAGTAAAACCCAATAGACCCAAGCTGAACAGAAAAGGAGAAATTAGGGAGAGATGCTGTTATACTTTGGTCACGAAGAGAAAAATGCTCCACATACTCAGGGAGTTGCTCTGATGCTGTCCAAAGAAGCACGTAATTCACTTATCGGGTTGGAATCTCATGGATACAGGTTCATAGTTTCCTGCTGACCACTTCTAACCACCATCTTATCTTAACATAGTGCATGCAATGCCAATTCACCTAGACTGGTGGCCACATCGATAGGATTCGATCTGCACTAAGACGGACCTGACACACATGACATTGACCACCACCCAGTGATCAATCAACTGTGAATCTCATAAGTCCGGGATCATCAAAGTATCCGTCAAAACATAGGGGGTTACGATGAGTGTTGCTATTATTATTATTATTATCTTTACACTCGATAACCTTTTGAGGAATTTATTCAATATCCACCCCTAAATCTACTATATCTGACCTAATTCATATTATTCTACATATTACGTAATTTCCGATTTTTATTCCATTATTTTCTCTCTCACCCCATATTGACCATATTTATTCTGATCATTTATCGCACAATTTCATTTCGCTTATAAACTGATTCAAGTTAACACCTTATATTAAACAGCCCCAACATTAACGATCTGAATTGATTCTATATAACAAACAACAATTCTCAATTCACATATAACAATTTCCAAATGATGTACTCTGCCTTAAATCTGGCCAATTTTATGGATTATTAATTTGGATTTATAATTGTAGAACCTGATGAAAAATTATTGAAAATATTCTTCGTTCATAAAACTTCTTTTAATTGGAGAATACAACCATATGGGAATGATGAACGCTTAATTCAACAAGTAGATCTATCAACCTGTCTTGAAACAAAATAAGATCATAAATATTGCAACAAAATTGAAACGCAAGGTTGTAAGTCAACTTGAAAACCTGAATGTTGAAACCAGACTCGGTAGGTTGAATTGAAACAACTTAAGATAAAAATGCACTTACCTGTGTCGAATTCCACTCAATAGGATCACGTGGAATATCATTCATTTCCATTAAACGTCGATAGTGACCATCAGGAACCCATCTTGATAAGCTTTCCAAGTCGTAAGCTCCAGGAACTCCACCAGGTTCCAACTGGGATCCTAAATAAGGATTTTGCGATGAGTGTATATCAAGAATATTGCATGCTTCTGGAATAACGGATTCATCCGAGACCATACCATTTTCATTGAGAGAAGGCTGTGATTCCAATAAGCCAGACCCTCCTGATGCAATATCAGCTGCCGCTGCCACAGCTGCGGCAACAGTGAGAGGGGATATACATTCGGGTTTTGGACTTATTGGTCTGTTAGAACTTGAAAGAGCACTATCATTCCTTGATTCCTCGTTTTTTACCGAATTTACACTGGATATCTGAAAAAAGCCGATGGAAAGATGTGGGAAATTTCATAGCTTAATCAGATGAAAACCAACTTCTTGTGATAATTGTGTATGACTACTTTGGATAAGGAACATAGTGAAGAGAAATTTTTTAGAATTTTCCTAACTGCATATCACGCAAATAGCATACTAGCTGAAATAAGTCACTAATTCTCAAAAATGTCGAAGTGTCGTCGTACGGTCGATGACAGGCAGTCCGCTCTTCCTCTTTCTATCCAACTAATTACGGAAGTCGGGGACTATCCTGTTGTAGTTTAATATTACATTATCCGTAAAAATGAGATGACCTTACTTAACTGAAAGGTCTTTTTTGATCGTACCTTTAACCGAACTGTCATTAAATGTTACTTCCATTCATTTCTTTATTAAATGTACTATCTTTTCCTTCATTATTTGTTCAAAACGTTATCGGTTCATTCTCATAGAACACTTTTTGGTGCTCCATTGCACCAGAACTTATGCGCTTAAAATAAATGTCAAAGATTGAAGGTTTTGAGACATCTACAGAAAATGAACTTTTTGATCCAGATTATAGGTAGATTATTTGGTTTATATCTCCACTTGAGGAAATCCAAATGATAGACGATGAATCATGGATAGATACCAATAGCACAGATTATTTATTCATTTATTTATTTTAACACATAGATATTGGTACAAGGAGGCACCAAATACATATGCGCCACACAAATCTCATTTCATTTGTGTGAGGGCTGTGATACTGCCCGGGTGCCCAGACCGAAGCAGGTGGTTTTCTTAGGGGGCCACTCCCCGAGCCTTCCACCTGAAGGTCTGATCCACAAGGCAGTGGAGCATCGTAGACGGTGACCAACAATTGGTTCATACGCCATTTGTTCCCTCAGGATACTGAAGCCGATGTGCACCGTTGGTCTGGAATCCGGTTAGAGCGCCGGACATTCGCTTTTCGTCCTCTCCTTTTTGTAGACAACACGCCCGAAACGAGAAGGCAGTGAGTAGGACTTCCCTGGCACAGATCAGGATACACAACTCAGAACGAGTATATATGACAATACGGAGGTATAAATAACAATAAATACTAAGACTAAGATCTCACCTGTTGTCCTGGTCCTTTTGCGATACCAGGACGTTTGCTTTTTTCGGTTGGTATAGTAGAGTTAGGTCCATGATGATCAACCGATTCTGGGATTTGAATATCGACAACATTGAGTCGAAATGGATAGCCTGCATGTGCTGTTTTTACCTCAAGTAATAGCTGAACTAAACCGGATATTTCAACACAATGTTCAACCAGGGGCGATTCCCACGAAGCTAAAACATAAAATAGCTTGCAAAGGGATTTACCTTGATTCGATCTTGAAGATAAAACTGGCAGCCAGAAAGACAAATCCCTAGTCTCCTTTCAAGCAGTTCAGCGACATCATACAAAGTTTGTTCCACAGACACTACGACTTTAACACGGTTGTCTTGAGCATTGTTGTTTCTTTGATATCTATAGACATCCGACCAAGACCAACATGAATCGCTGGAAGAGTTTGGATCGTTATTCTGAAAATTCCACTCAAGAGATGAATGGACATTTTTTGGTAGTTTACGGTTGGAAATTTTAGCCATGGTTAGTACATCTCAAACATTTCCTGTGAAGCAATAGAAACCAACGTTTTGATAATGTGAAAATTAATACCGTTTATCGCAAGAAAAAATGGAAATCCAATATATCTTTAAGATAGAAATTACGGTTGTAAATACCGTTAGATAAGTGTGAGGATTGTCAGATATATGAAATAAACCACTTGTTAGTCATCTAAACGTTTTTATGACCACAGAATGCTAGGTATTCCTGCAAAGGATACAGATAAATTGAAGCTGAATCCTTAATGCATTAGATGTGAAATTACACGTGAAGTAATCTCAATGGTTAAAATTGAAATAGTCCCAACATTTTAGCCCTAGCCTCTTCAAGGAAAAAATTTACTTTTCGCATATTTTTTCCCGAACCCTAGTGAATGTTCATAAGTAGTGATTCGTGAGCTTTCAGTGTTGCCAAGACTTCAACCCCATAGTGTAGTTCAACTTTTGTCCTGTACTAAGATTAGCCTAACACTACAAACTCAAACTGATTGCTACAACGTAAAGTCAACACCGACAGTTTACTACAACTATTAAAGTGTACAGTCAGTCAGGAACAACGTAGAACTTCGTACATTCGTACATCAGTTCGAGTTGCCACACACATTAGCACAGAGATGCAGTGTTCGATTCAAATCCCGTAGTGCTAGAGGTAGTAAAGTATAAGCAGTCATCGGAAAGATTAGTGTTTGGAGATGTTACTTAAAGAGTATAATCCAGTGAAATAAATTTGGAAAGAGAAAAAAGAAAGTGTTATAATCCCTTTTCTTACGGTTATAACCCAGCTATTCCTATTGCTTAGTATTCTCGGACACCGATTCACTCGACAAGTCCCCAAATCAAAACACGGTTGAACAGGAAGAGATTATATTCCAAATAACAAGTTAGATGGAAGTCTGAAGCACAATAGGGAAAACGTCAGTATATTTATAGTTTTTACATAAGAAGATTCCAGAGTATTCTCCAACTATCGACTAGTGCTGATTGGATAAGAATTAGCCAATCAGCGTGCACCAAAGCAATCATGCATTGAGCATGCTTTAATCTAGTCTATGTCCCGCTAACACCTCCCCTTGAGCAGATTCGTAGGATCTGGTGCTAGGGTCCAACTGCAACCGAGTGACTGGCCTGTGCTTTCGATTAGTCCATCGTCTAGGCAATAGAGAAGTATCACTCTTTTCTTGCACAGAAACTGACGTGTCTATTCCCGGCGTTTTGATTTCAAAGGTGTCTAGCAGAACATCAAGAGGTAATCGATATTGAATCTTGTTGCTGGCTATCGAAGTTGCTTTCAATTGGTTAGCATGACGTACCCAAACTTCCGAGCCAACTGACACCTCGTAAACCACACTCCCCTTCTTTTTCAAGATCCGACCAGCTGTCCATGTAGGATGTTTCCCACGATAGTCCATAGCAAGCACTTTTTGTCCCACCGTGAACAATCGTCTTTGTGCCCCATGATGTCGGTTGAACTGATTCTCCATCGATAGGTTTCGTTGGGGTTCAATAGCTGGCGTAGGACGGATGACATCGAATGTGTTCGTATTTTTCTTTTCGGTTTTCCTAGTAACCTATCACCTGTCTTCTTTGGAAGTACTGGGGTGTCCAATGATGAACGTGATACGTTACAGACACTGTTAATTGGTACATCCATTATTCCAAGTTTGTCTAACATATCTAGACCAAGAAGATCAAGGTTCGGCCGTTCTGTTAGGTAACATATTCCTGTACAGTTAGTTCCATTGAAGGAAAATTCACACTGTAATTCACCAACCAGTTTTAGCACACCACCTGATGCGTTTTTAGCCGTTTTCTTAGATGGCTTCATTGGCGGTTTACCCAGCAAGTTATACGTTTCTCTAGACACTAACGTGATATCTGATGCCGTGTCAATTTGAAGACGAGCTGATATGCCGTTTATCTGGATGGTAACATACTTTCTCCGAATGTCATAGTTTGTTTGAAAGGCAGCTACCAGAGAAAGAGATTTGGACTCGGCTGATTTCACATGTCGAGGACGTTTATGCTTCTTCTTAGGCTGAGACGTACGCTTCGGTGGACAATGACCTTCTTTATGTCCACGTTTGTTGCACGCCTGACATTTATGCTTCTTGAACGGACAGAATCGTGCATAATGCCAATCACCGCATAACCAGCATGCAGTCCTTGGTTTGTTACGAGTTGTTACCGGCTTCTGAACTTTTAACCTAGTAATAGTATTTACACTACCGCAGGTTAAATTAGGATTTACCTGTTCAATCAACTCGTTGTCGTGTCTGATGCTTTGTAGACGCTTACACTCATCTGTCAATGTTCTGAGTGTGACGTTTGGGTCTTGATCCAGTCGAGCTAAAAGTCTAGTCCTGATCTCAGCATCTTGTGGTGACTGAAGAGCTTTGATGAATATTAAGCATTTAAATTGGTCATCAGTCAACGAGCGTAACTTGAAACGTTCACATTCTCTGTTGACAATGTCTGCTAGAACACCATATTCATCAGCTTCGCGTTTCACCAAATTTAGACACCGATATCGAATACTAAACAACGAGGATGACTCGCCGAATATCTCTGACAACTGAAATACCGTCTCCTCGAAACTGAGCTCTCGAGGTAACTTTGGCAATATATGGTCAGCAAAACGTGCATGTTCATTGCTTCCCAACTTACGTACCAACAATCGGGTCTTCCACGCATCGTCTTGGTTACAGAATTCTGTTCTAAATGTATCTTCCCAACGTCTGAACCACGTGAGAAAAGTATTTCCACTTTCGGGATCATAGATGAATTCTGGGATGCTGCTAGCAACTGCATCACAAGACGAACTTGAAATAGCATGTGAACTCGAGCTGTGGATGTTGAGCTGTTGAGTCAGAGTCTCCAACAACCGCATTTGTGCATCAAGTTGTGCTTGCTGTTGTTGTAGTATTCGGTTAAGCTGGTCATCTGATATAGGCATCTTGAATTTGTTTTCCTTTTTCCCCGTCGCCACTGTTATAACTCTCTCTTTTCTTACGGTTATGACCCAGCTATTCCTATTGCTTAGTATTCTCGGACACCGATTCACTCGACAAGTCCCCAAATCAAAACACGGTTGAACAGGAAAGAGATTATATTCCAAATACAAGTAGAGAAGTCGAAGCAAGTCAGAAGCACAATAGGGAAAACGTCAGTATATTTATAGTTTTTACATAAGAAGATTCCAGAGTATTCTCCAACTATCGACTAGTGCTGATTGGATAAGAATTAGCCAATCAGCGTGCACCAAAGCAATCATGCATTGAGCATGCTTTAATCTAGTTTATGTCCCGCTAACAGAAAGGGACATGAAGAATTCAGAAGATTAGAATTTGGGAGAACACAAAGAGTGGATGCACCTGAGCCATTGCAAATGATTTTGAGCCATGTCATTCAAGGTCTCTAACCAACGGTTGCTATCGTCTCGCGGTTCCTAACCAGGTAGTCTACACCTACCAATATGACTCATTCTACTTGTCAGTGACTTCATGGACTTGTGCCATATTTTGATTTGGCCGCCCCTAGCTTTCTTCCAACCTACTCCCATACAACAAAACAGCGCGCATCGAGGCAGTCGGTGGTTGGGCATACGTAACACATGTTCCAGCCATCTAAACTGATGAAGTTTCACTACTTCATCAATTGATTTGCCATCCTTACCTAGTACCCGTTTCCTAACAACTGCATTACTTACTCGATGGTCCCACGATATACGAGCAATATTTCGGAGACACCTTTGATCAAATGCTAGTAACCTACGGATATCCTCCACTCTTACCGGCCATGTTTCACAGCCATAAAGTAGGACGAACGAACTGCTGCTCAGTAAACACGTCCTTTGGTTGATAGACGGATATCTCGCCTACGTCATAAATGACGCATGTTGGCAAAAGCTAGTCAAGCCTTCTGTATCCGTGCTGAGATTTCGTCACACACCAGACCACAATGGCTGACGAGACTTCCCAGACAAGTGAAGCGGTCGACACGCTCAACTACTTCACTCCCTATCATTAGTTCAGGTGTCGGTTTACCCCAATCCTGAAGCAGCATTTTGCAATTCGAGGGGAGAATCGCCTCCCAAACATGCATGCATTGTTGCTTAGTGATTAGAAGACTGAATTTTGTCAGTGTTTTCACCAAATAAAACTATGTCATCGCCATATTCTAAGTCAACAAGTGAACCTCCCGGTAGAAGTTCAACCCCTGGAAATCAAGACGAGTAAAGTGTTATCTTTAAAATTATGTCGACGACAAAGTTGAACAGGAATGGAGGAATGGACGTATTGAACCTAGTGCCGTGACCTTGACATTCCTAGAACACTTCTGATTGGCTCGTTCATAAATTATAGTGTCGCGAGCCAACAGATGGGACTATTCAGAAGTTCCTGTATCTGTGACTGCGGCAATCAAATGACTGCAGCACGATGTGCAGACCACCGTGATGAAATTGTATTTCTTTGTCCTATATGCTGGAGGAAAGTATCTGCTGGAACTGGTACTTTCTTTGCTCGATCACGACTCAGACTAAGGCAAATCATGATAATTGTTGCAAATTGGATCATAAAGTCTCCAGTAACATTAGCTGCGGCTTTTGCAGATGTTACGGAAGTTTCAGCCGTTTAGTAATACGAATATTGCCGTGATATATGTGCAATAAACATGACACGACTGCATGAATTATTTGGAGGAGTCCGAAGAATAGTGGAAATAGATGAGACAGTGGATTGAAAGCGAAAATACAACAAAGGACGTCTTATCAAGGAAGATTGGGTAAGTAGCACTCCCGTAAATATACTTGACAGGTACTTGGGTTTCATGATCGTTCAACCCAAAAGGAACATTTTCAAAGAGTGAGAAACCGTCAGGCAGCGACAATAATACCAGCCATAAAGGAGTACGTCCAGCCTGGCACCACGATTTATACCGATGATTGGAAAGCCTATAGATGCCTCCAGAGATTCGGGTTTGTG